CCGGCCCTCCCTAGTGTGGGTGAGCAATCCCTTTAGCGATGTTACTTGCCTAAGTGAACAGTGCTACGTCTCGCTGTCTCCCCGTGGTAGTAGAAGCTGACTGTTTTGGGAAATGAGAAACAGGTTTTGTGTGGTAGAGGTATATTTTGATTTTGTGTAGGAGTCTTCTTAAACTTTAAAATAGAGGGCATATTTTCTAAGGAGATTGTAAAATAAAGTGAACCTTCCAATTGCTTTTTGTCTTTTTCTTTTTAGCTGTGGGACCGAAAATAAAAGAACATTTTCCAACTGTCTTCTTGTTTAATCTTTTTTATTTCCTTAGGTGATGACGCGCTTCCAAATGGGCTAGATGTCACCTTTGAAGTGACCGAGTTAAGGAGGCTGACAGGCAGTTACAACACCATGGTCGGAAATAATGAAGGCAGCATGGTATGGTGGAAGGTTTTTCTTTTCTTGTTGGAACTTGGAATATGAGCTTTAAAAACGTGACTGCTGTCTAAAAGCTGACGATAGCTTCAAAACTCTTTCTCACTTCCTATCTCTTAATCTGTTGTTTGCAGCTTCTCTTTAACCTCCTTAGTATTGATTAGAAGGTAGTTTAAAACATTTGGTAACAATCATTATGAATGATTTAGAAATTGTTCTTATTAAAAGTAGTCCCTGTTCAAATTTCTTTTAAACTTCACATGCATAGGATTTGTGTCCTTGAGATTCAAGGTTGGCAAGGTCACCTGCCTCTGTGGTGACCGTGTCTGCGTGACAGATGGTCTGGTCTGTGGTCTGCATTTGTACTGTTTCTGTGACAGTCCCTTACTTAGCTGAGCCTGTATTATGTGTTCCTCCATTCCTTCCTTTTCAGCCACTGCTTTCCTTTGTTCCCTTCTTAGGTCCTTGGCCTCAAACTCCCCAATTTGCTAGGACGTGCAGAAAAAGTGACTTTTCAGTTTTCCTATGGAACAAAAGAAACGTCCTACGGCCTGTCCTTCTTCAAACCACAGCCTGGGAACTTCGAGAGAAAGTAGGAAGCCAAGCAGGTCATTGAGTGCGGTGGCCTTGCGTGAGAGTTCGAGTGGAAGCCATGAATGTTCACAGAGAGCCGACAGTCAGCTGCTCTACATGGGTGATTTACACGTGTGCCGTTCTGTCCCGTTGTCTCCTAGTTTCTCTGTAAACTTGTACAAAGTCACCGGACAGTTCCCGTGGAGCTCGCTTCGGGAGACAGACCGAGGAGTGTCAGCCGAGTACAGTGTAAGTGCTTCCACCATCTGGGGCTTTCCGAGGGGTTCCCGAAGAGAGCATGGCCGGGTCGGCAGGAGAGCACAGCCCTCTGTCCTCCCGGGCTGTGTCCTGGGCACCTGTACTGCAGCCTGAGAGTGGCTGCTGCCCATTGCTGCTGCTGAGAGAGCTCTCTGGACCTCACTTCTGGTGGGACTGTTTGGCCTGCTGCCATGGTGGACAGATGCTCACAGAGGAGAGGGCTGAGGGGTGCTGGCAGAGTGGGGCCCCCTGCCCTATGTGTCCTCACAGTGAGTGTGAAGACATCGTCCGTGTGTCCTGAGTGGCAGCGTCCTTTGATTATAAGCTGTCTTCTAAGGGCTGGGAGACAATTAGGAGCTCTCTGCCACTGGGCACATCTAGGGCAGTGCCCCATGCCTTGTGGGTGCTGATGTGAGCACCTCCAGTCCTTACCCTTTATGTGTGCTTGGCCCATGATGGTACCCCCAACCCACAGTGGCCTTGGGGACATAGAGCGTGGTGGAAGGCACCCTCAAGGGGGTTGTGGGTGACCTGGCTTCCTTGTGACACAAGTCATCTTTGTGCGTCCCAAAGCTACCAGGCAATGTCACTCACTGTCCAGAGAACACGGTCAGGCTGTCTCTCTGAGGCAGACCTAAGGCAGGCTGTCCTGGCTCTGGGGACAGAGGGGCAGGTCCCTTTGCCTACAGCCCAGGCTCCTCTTGCCCTGGGCCTCTGGCTGTGGAAGGCTGTTCCTCTGTGGCTGAGTGAGTCATGTGATCCCCAGGGTGTGTCCTCGCTTTGCAGAGAGCTGGGGAAAACACAGCAGCTGCTGGTTACAGGTCCCCCAGCCCTGCCCTCACTGGTGCTCAGAGCAGGTACTCCATCGCCTTGGTTCACAGCCTTCCCATTTCTTCTTTGTCCTCCCCCTCTGCTCCTCCCTCCCCTCTTCCCTGCTTCCCTTACCCTCTTCTTCCCCCCAACATAATAAAAAATTTTATCCGTACTCGGACAGCTCAGGAAGAAGATGATCCCAGATTTACTCCCTCCTAGGTAACTTAGTGAGACCCCATCGCAAAATTTAAAAATAAAGGAGGGCTGGCAGTAGCTTAGTGGTAGAATGTTTGCCTACCATGCACATGGCCTTGGGTTCCATCCCCAGCACAGAAAAAAAAAACCCCAAAATTAGGTATTTAATTAGTTAAAGCGCGTGTCACTCCACCTGTGTCCTTGAAGTTCCCCATATGGAGGACCAGCCACAGCGTCAAGTGGGAGGGCGTGTGGCGGGAGCTGGGCTGCCTCTCCAGGACCGCGTCCTTCGCAGTGAGGAAAGAAAGCGGACACTCCCTGAAGTCGTCCCTCTCGGTAAGGCCCTCTCAGGGAGTGATCGGAGTGTTGGGCACTGGGAAAGTGGTGTCCTCCAGCATCCGCCCAACGGGTGACAGCAGAGATGGTGGGCTGGGGTCTTCCCGAATAGGGCCTCTGCCTTGCATCAGTTTTCCCAAACAACATCGGTGGGAACTGGAATAGGTGTGTTTCAGAGCCAACCATGGGATTGTAGCTTCCAGGCATAACTACAGAGTGGCTGTGTTGGCTTAGGCTTTGGGGCTGTGCTTATGAGTGGACTACAGCAGCCTGGTTATGGGTCCCACTTCATGGAGGGCACCATGGGTGGCAGTGTCCCTTGCTTTGTAGGCAGGCGTGATGGTGCTCCCTTGGCCCATGCCTTTGTGCAGGGCAAGCCATTGAGCAGCCAGTGCTCAGTGAGAGTTCAGTGTTGGTTTATTTAATTTATTTATTTATTTTGGTACCAGGAATTGAACTCAGGGCCTTGCACTTGCCAGGCAGGCTCCCTGGTATCAGTGTTGGTTTATAAAACTGTGAGAAGTGCAGATGCCTTTGTACAACTCTCTCGCAGCACACCATGGTCATTGATTCTCGGAATTCTTCCATCTTGCCTAGAAGAGGGGCCCTGCTGAAGGTGAACCAGGTAAGGCTGCTTCAGTGTCGTCTTGGCAGGGCCAGGGAGCAGTGACGTCACAGATGGTGACCCCAGGGGTGGGAGTCACTCACTTTGCTAGCATTAAGTGTCCCCGGTGACTGTACAGGTTGTTGTAGGGCCTGGGGGCGAAGCTCAGTGTGAGCACTGGCCTGGCGAGAACAAGGCCCCGGTTCATGGACACAGACCTGGTCCTCGGCAGTAAGGGGAACTGGGTGTGAGCACAGCGGGGTCAGGAGCCCGGGGGCTGTGGGGCCGTGATGCCCCTGAGCTCTGCCACCCAGCTGTGGTTGGTGGTGGACGAGTTGGGCAGGAGCTTGGGGCCTGGGGTCCAGTCTTCAGGCTAGAGGGCCAGCCGGACATTAGATTTTTAGGTAGACTTTGCAACCTTGTGAAGGATCAGCGGGCTCTGAACACGAGTCAGCCCAGTGAGCCGTATCTCCCATCACCAGGACTGCAGTACCTCGCCCACACTTCCTTCCGCTCACATTAGGTTTGTTCAGCGTCCATGATGAGCCTCTGTCCCTGCCCATCTCCTGTAATTGCCATTTAGAGCAATTGGGAGCATTCTGTTGCCTTCTAAAAAAATTTCTCTAAAGCAGCAAAATCAGAACTGCAGAAGTGTGACTCAGAAGCCCCTGTACAAGCCCTTTACGCCCTTGACCTGCCCATCTTCCCACAGGAGCTGGCAGGCTACACCGGTGGGGATGTGAGCTTCCTAAAGGAGGAGTTTGAGCTGCAGTTGAACAAGCAGCTCGTGTTGGACTCAGTGAGTACCCGGCCGGGACGCTGCCACCGCAGTTACCCCTGCTGCAGAACCCTGCTCAGAAACCTTGGTCCCGGAACGCCTGGCACAATGAGTGGGAGACCGGGAAGCACCCAGGCTGAAGCACCCTGTCTTCCACGAGAGACAGAACTGAGGGACCCCGGGGAGGGACAATAACTGCTTTCTTCTAAAAGTAACCTGTCAGACCCCAAGGAGCCCTTTCCTGTTTGCCCTCTGAGGCCTTGGAGGAGGTGTGGCCGAGGACTTTGGAATGTCTCCTTCCCCACGGCATTGCTTCTGTGGAAGGTCTGACCTTCCTTTGCGGGTCACAGGGCTCTGGGTGCTTCTGGGATGTTTGTGATTCTTGGATCAGTTTGGCAGGAATGAGGAGGGCTCAGTGGCCACTTCTAACCAGGCCTGGCCGTCTCTGGCCGCCCGGTTGTGCTCTGCCAGCCCAGCCCTAACCCTGGTGGCCATGAGTGAGTTGTAATGAAGTGGCCCTGGTCAGCTTGTTTTAATCTCATGGTCACGGTCCTGTCAGTCCAGGCCTATGGCACTTGGAACTCAGTTCCCTCCTTTCCCCTGCTGCTGTCACTCAGATGCCACCATGAGCCTCTACTGCCCGGTTCACCAAGCTCTTCTGGTCCCTTCCACAGCGCCTGACATTGGCTGCTCACTCGGTCTCCTGGGATTCTCTTTGTTGGTGTTCTCAACTCGATTATTACTGTGATTCTGTCCAGCCTCAGTTTCCCTTCCCGTTATGTGGCTTTCCCCACTATTCTCTCACTCTTCCCACTGCGCAGCATGTAGGATCTTTCTTGTTTCCCCATCCTAGTGCTACCTGACGTGTCCTCCATGTGCCTTGCAGACACCTCTCATCAGTGGGTCTAAAATCCACCCAGAGCTGGAGAGGCTGAGACAGGAGGATTGCAAGTTCAAGGCCAGCCTGGGCAACTTAGCAAAACCCTGTCTCAAAAGAAAATAAAAAAGGTCTGGGGATATATTTCAGTGCTTCCTGGGTTCAGTCCCCAGTATCACGAAAATTAAAGCAAACAGAACCCCCCCCAAGGGGGACCTCCTGCCCCCCCTAACTCACACACAGTGCTCACTCAGCTGCCTTCAGCATCCCCGGCTGCTCCAGGCCTCACCCCCAACCTCTGTTCCTCCTGTCCTTGCCTGCCCTTCTTTAGCTGCCGCCACGCAGGTTTTCCTTCAGTGCACACCTTGCAGTGCTGCTGTCCCGCCCTCTCTCAGTGGGTTTATGTGGGGTCACATCCTGTTAAACCCAGTGGGGGTGAAAATGCCCTCCATGCCTTTATGCCGCTGCCTGCGGAGCACTAGCTTGGCTTGGCCCACAGGGGATGTGCCCAGAGCACTTCGGTCCTTGGACTAGTGCTGGGCAGTCGCTGCCTGCCTCACGGCGAAGTGTTGATTGAGTATCTCGTGACCTACTGGGAGCTATGAGTGAGGTGGTCATGTGGGGACACTGCCACCACCCTAAAGCCCCCTCATGCCAGCGTGAGTTGAGACCACATGGTCTGCTCTGTCACGCTGTCCCAGTTTCCATCTGTAGTCCTTCCCACCAAAGCTTCTTAACAAATATCTGAGCAGCTCTGAAGGCTCGGGGACAGTGTTGGTGAACCTTTTAGAGCTTTCACTGATACAGACGGCCCACTGTGCCACACGTGCCTTAGGTTCACTACCACTGCCATAGAAGTTTGCAAGGCAGAGAGGACAGGAGGTGAGTAGGTGCCTGGGCAGAGGAGCGGCTGGGGAAGCAGCACTGTAGAGGAGGCCGATGGGCGTGAGCACTGGGCACTGAGGCACAACCAGCGCGGCCCCTACGTGCCATGGGGCTCTGTCCCAGGGGTCGGTTGGCCATGAGCATCTTTGGGTTATGTAGTTGTAGGGTCGTTGACATCCCAGCCTTCCTCCTGCATTTCCAGGCCCAGTCAAGGCTGAGTGGTGCAGGACCCCGGCCCAGGGTCTCAGTCTCACTTGTGCATCAGGCCAAGGCTTGTCCCGCTGCTGGGCTTCTCACCACAGGGTGGAACTCGGGCCCTGTGTACTGGACTGTGGTGTTCTTTGCAGTTGGCAGCCGCCTATGATTGAGTTTTTCAGCCTCATAGCCAGGTGGTCTTTGCCTGCTGCCCACACGTGCTGACAGTGCTCTGCAGGGCCAGGTAGGCAGGATGGGAGCCACTTTCTAGGCCGGTGCTTGCCAGAAACCAGAAACCGCTGTCTGTGTCTGAACAGGTAGTCTGCGCGTCTCTGTGGGGTGGAATGTTGGTACCCATCGGGGACAAGCCATCCAGCATCGCTGACAGGTGAGTGATGACCAGTGGGTGGGAGCTGGCAGACGTTTTCCTTCAGATCTTCTTTTTGGTTGGTTTCTTACAAGATAGTTTAGAGGAGCTTTATTAGTTCATAAGAGCATATTTCAAATTTTTCTCTAGTTTTGATATTTAAGCTAGCTTTAAAATATCCAGTGCAGCTTTTAATTTTTTTGCTTTTTGTATAACTTTATTGTATTAAAAATGTGTGTTTTCTGTTTTGAAAGAATATAGTTCATACTTGTTACAGAAATACAAGAATAGAGAAACATTTAAGGAAGTTAAAGGACTTAGTCTTATTCAGTGGTAAGTAGAGTTAACGTTTGGGACTGATTCCTCTTGGCCTATTTGTTATAGATGTATTTATGTGTGTGCATACATAGCTGTGTTAAGTTGTTAATATATTGTATTTTACCTACACTTTTTTGTCCTCTTAGCTTTTTTTAAAGTTTTAAGGAAATTATAGGGTAATCGTTCACCAGTTCATGAGAAATTCTTCCTAAGCAGCGTTTTATTGGCACGTAATCTTTTATTACTTGCATATAACTATAACTTTTCGGCCTACCTCAATATTTGTTGATATTGTAATTGTTTCTAATTTTGTAAGTTTGTTTTGTTTTGTTCTGTTTTTGGCAGTCCTCGGGATTGAACTCAGCCTTGTTTAAATTTTTTCTTTTGAGACAAGGTCTTAGTAAGTTGTCCAGGCGGGGCTTAAATTTGAGATCCTCAGGCTGGGAATTTAGCTCAGTGGTTCTGGTGCCTGCCTCCCAAGCAAAAGGTCCCTAGTTCGATCCCTGGTACCAAAAAAAATATTTGTGATCCTCCTGCTTCAGCCACCCAGAGTGCTGGGATTACAGGTATGCACCACCAGGCCCAGCTAAGTTTGTGGTATTGATAAGTAACTCTGTGAAGAACATTATAAATAATTTGTTCATTTTATTTTCTGAGAAGATACTGAGAATTACTATTTCAGAGTAAGGCTTTTTGCCGGGTGTGGTAGCACACACCTATAATCCCAGCATTTGGGAGGCTGAGGCAGGAAGATTCCTAGATTTCAGACCAGCCTAGACCATATTTCAGGGTCAGCCTAAACAACATAGCAAAACTGTCTCTCAAAAAAACCCCACAAAACAATAATAAAACAAAAACAAAATTCCCCAGAGTAAGGCTTAAGACCTTTAAAGAATATTTCTGGATCCTGCCCGTTAAAAGAGCTGGTGGCAGTTGATGGCCCTAGGAGCAGAGTATGACACCATGCTTTCTGCTCTAAGATATGCATTGTCACCAAGGGCAAGAAGCTGCCTTCCCCCTGAATTGGGTATAACGTTGCCTTAGTTTAAACTGGTCCAGCCTTTTTGGATGGCGATTTGGAAGTGCAGAAATACTAAATTCATAACCTCAGAGACCTAACAGTGTACCCTGCTCTTTTGAACTTAGTGGGACAGCGTGAGCCCAGAGGAGGCCGGGCTTGGAAAGGAACTTCTCTGATGTGTTCTCTCAGCGCCTCAGCCCTCTGTGGTACACAGCCCTCCCATCTGTCTCCCACTTCTCCAGAAGTGTGCAGCTCTGCTTAGGTGTTTAGATTTGGGGCTGGGTTAGAAGATTTGATTTTAATAGGATTTGCAGACTTCTGTGCGTCTTCCTGACCCCTTCTTAAATGGGGCTCTGATCTTGGTCACTCAGAGCCAGATGAATTTCACAGGTGCTTTCTGCCCTTACTGTGCGCCGTGTGCCGTGTCAAGCCTGCCCTCAGGGCCAGCGTCTGACACATGCTGTTTTGCCCTAGGTTTTACCTCGGAGGACCCACGAGTGTCCGAGGATTCAGCATGCACAGCATCGGCCCCCAGAGCGAAGGTTTGTCCCGGCCCAGGAGCGGTGGCCCCTGCAGGGTGGTCCCACCTGGTGGCGGAGGCCATGGCAGTGTTCACATTAGAGCAGCAGTAGGTGTGCATATTTCACAGTGCTGGAGTTGGCACCTAACCCAGAGTCGCCCCAGGGGTTATCTATTGAGTGGATTGTAGAAAGATGAGAATATGTATCTAGCAAAAAATGATTTGAAGATGGCCTGCGATCCCACACCCAGAGAGAACATGTGTTTTATTGTACTTTCCCTCCAGGATTTAAATGGGTATTCATATTCTTTTTTTTTGTTTCATTTGGATGTGGGTTTTTAAAAATTTGTTCACTATTTCTTACAATATAATAGCATATTTTATAGGACTAATATTTTATCTTTTTTTGTTTACCGTTCCGTATAACAACAGCATATTTTTGTAGGACTAATTTATCTGTTTATTTTTCTCCCAGTTCTGAGGATTGAATGTAGTACCTTTACACTGAACTGTGTCACAGCCCTTTTATAATTTTTAAATTTAGAGACAGAGTCTCACTAAACTGCCCAGGCTGGGCTCGATCTCACAACCCTGCCTCAGCCTTGAAGTGTGCTGGGATTTCAGGCGTGGCTTTACTTTATCATTTTTCATGGCTGTATACTTCATCTTATTAGCATTCTATAATCTTTTGTAACCAGTAGACTGTGTTTTTAGCGCAACTTTAGGTTTACAGAAAAATTAAAAAGTAAGTGCAGTGTTCCCGTTACCCACACAGCTTCCCCTGTGACAGCTTCCCCTGTGACAGCACCCCATCCTCCTGTGGTGCCTCTGTTAGACTGAGCACATTAAGTCAGGCCCTGAGTTGGGGCGGCTGTGTTCTGCCGGCTATGGGCTTTGACAGACGCACACTGTCACATGCCCATCACAGTGGTCCTGCACCAGGCACTTCTGCCGCCCACAGTCCCTCCGTCTCTTCTGCCGGACGAACCCCTTCTTCCTGTCTGCAGTCGCAGAGCTGGAATTGTGCAGTGCTCAGCCTTGCGCCCTGGCAGCCTGTCCAGCAGCGACAAGTCGAGCTCCTGTAGACATTCGTGTGCAGGTTTTTGTTTAAACTTAGTTTTCCATCAGTCGGGGAATACCCAGCAGCACAGGTGCTCGGGCCGGGCAAGGGTGTGTTTACCTTTGTAAGGAAACTCCAGCCTGGCTTCCAGAACAGACTGGCATTCTCCTCAGTGTGAAGGGGGGTCCTTATCATGTTTAGACCTTGCACATTTTGGTTTTTTTTTTTTCGTACCAGGGATCGAACTCAGGACCTTGCACTTGTGAGGCAGGCACAGCACCACTGAGCTAAATCCCCAGCCACATTCTGTTTTCTTAACATAGTACAATTTTCTTTTCTTTTCTTTTTTTTAAGGGAAGGGGTTTTTTTAGCTCACAGTTTGTAGAGGTTTCAGTCCATAATCAGCTGGCTCCAAGGCAGAGTAGCACATGGCAGAGGAGCATCACAGAGGAGAAACAGTTCATGGGGCTCACACGGTAGCAAAAGCAACAAGGGAGCTTAACATAGTACAATTTTCTAAAAGCCAGGTGCCAATTTTTGGACACTTAGATGTGTTGCTGTTGTAATGATTATAAAGCAGTGCGAGTCTTGGTGCGTGTGTAAATTATAGCTGTGGAGCTGCAGGATCAAAGGGTTTGGTGAATGTTTTTGAGATCTGGTCTTGCTCTCTAGGAAGGTGGCCGTGGCCGAAGTCCCTCTGCAGGGTTTCCTGGACCCCTCAGCACTGCTCAGCACTGACAGAGGGTTCTCCATGTGAAAACATCCCTTAAAGGAACACCTAATACCCCAGCATAAAGTGTCCTACCCTGATTTTCTCAGCTTCCGGTTTCATACCATCATAAACAACAGCTACCTTCCGCATAAATTTTTGTGCAAAGTAATTTAAAGTAGAATATTTTTCACTTGTTTTTAAAATGTTTGATTAGTGTCATTTTGGAAAAGTAACAATTTTCAGATAGTTTTTGCTTTTTTATTATTAGCAAGTATAATATGCTTTCTGTATTCGTAGTTTAGGTGTCTTCCATCTGCCTGGAAAGTAAAATACAGTCATATTCTACTCATTACCTCTCAGAGAAGTAATGAGTAAGATTCTATGGGAAGTATGTAAATTGCCATGACTTCTCTTGAAAGCAGTTTGATATATCAAAATGCCAAAAAAGCCAGCTTGGTAGCGCACGTCTGTAATCCCGGCACTTGGGAAGCTGAGGCAGGAAGATCGCTGAGAGTTCAAGGACAGCCTGGCTACACAGCGAGACCCTGTCTCAAAAAGTCAAAGGGGAAAAAAGAGAGATTCTTAAAAATTATATTATTTTAAAGAATTAATAAAACTATGATTAGTAAGGGGCTGGGGATTTAGCTCAGTGGTTCCGGTGCCTGCCTTGCAAGCGCAAGGTCCTGAGTTCAATCCCCGACACTAAAAACAAAACAAAACAAAAAAAACTACAATTAATAAAAGAGCTAAGTTTGAAACTAGAAACCCTAATGCCCATCAAGAATAGAATGGACAAATAACTGTTGCTATCTTCATCATCTAATAAGGAAGAACAAATTATAACCACTAGCTGAACGAGGGCAGGAGTGAATCTCAGAAATATGTGCCCCAAAATAGCTAGACCCAGCGAATGCACCCTGTGTAATTCCAGTTAAGTGCAGTGTGGGACAGGCCACTCGACTCCGTGTTGTCAGAGGACAGCTTTGCAGGGTGAGTGGCCATAGTGATCAGGAAGGTCTTCAGTAAGATTTCAGTGTCAGCCAGGAAAGAAGTAGACGCCAAGACGGTAGTAGGAGAGAAATGGACAGTTCTTTCATCATCAGTCATAAAAGTTGTATTTTTAAAGAATATAAGTCATCCAGAGAAATTGCTTAGAATTACTAAAAAGTTTATTATTTAAGCATGTGTCATACATCATAATTCATTGGGAGAATAGGGAATTATTTGTCTGAATGGTAGACATTAAAATACTCTCATTTTTTCCTATTTTTTTGTGTCCAGTTTTCCACATTACTTTTCTGATCAGAATAAATTATTTAAGGCAAGAGAGGAAGGGCAGCTTCTAGGAAACAAAAGTTTATCTCCTGCTATCTATCCACTGTTTCTTTTAGGATTTTGGTATTAAAAAGGACTAAGGAGATGGTGAAGTCTTTAAATGAATATAATCTGCTGTTTGAGGCTAATTTTAGAGACACTCTGTGTGTATTATAGTGAACTAAGGCACTAGAAACTATTTTATAACATTGTAGCAAGTTGGAGAGCTTTCCGTAACTTTAATATTACCGCTACTTATAAATAAAAATGTCACAGGAGCATTTATAGAAATAATGCAGATATCGGCTCTCAGCAGCTACTCTTGAATTTTTGCAAAAGTAACCTTTGTCCATAAAACAAAACTCCAGGTGGTCCTGCACCACTGAGAAGCACCCTCTCCCCCGGACCTGGAGCCAGGTTGCCGTTTGGATACTCAGTCAATTCCAGGAAACCGTGGAAGATCTTTTCTGTCTTGTTGCTCTATATTGTGGTCTTGCAAACTTTGTAAAATAATGCATTTCATTTGCCAGGTGGAAGCAGTTTGGTATCTGTAGTTGTGGATGAAATGATTTTCTTGAGATTCACTCCTTTGTTTGAAGCATTTTACAGACAGGATAAATTATCAAGTGCATTCTTTCCTGCCCCCCAGTTAAATCAAATTGTAAGAGAAGCCAGGAGGAAAAGAGAGAGATTCCTTCGAAGGAGGCCAGTGGCGGCAGGGGCACACATGCTCAGAACCTGGGCACCTTTCGGGGCCTCGAGTGTGACACGCATCTTACCTCTGAGCTAGCGAGGTCAGTGTGGTGTCCATGCTCTCAGGTCTGTCCCTGTCCCCTCCCTTGCTAGGGGACTACCTGGGTGGCGAGGCGTACTGGGCCGGTGGCCTGCACCTGTACACCCCACTGCCCTTCCGGCCAGGCCAGGGCGGCTTCGGAGAGCTATTCCGAACCCACTTCTTCCTCAATGCAGGAAACCTCTGCAACCTCAACTACGGTAAGAGCCAGCTGTGGGGCTATTCTGGAGCAACAGGAAGTGTGGTCCCCAAGCCCCCCGCCCCTCCTGTGGTACTGGGATTGGACCTTGGTTGCTCTGCTGTCCCTGGCTTGAGGGCACCCTAACCTTCCTTGATTCATTTCTCTGGACTAGGAGCCTGGTGTAAAGGCACCCAGGCTCCCACAGGGGTAGTAAGGCTTTTGGTGGATGGCTCTGACAGCCACGTCCTCTCTTCCCAGGGGAAGGCCCCAGAGCCCACATCCGAAAGCTGGCTGAGTGCATCCGCTGGTCCTATGGCGCAGGCATTGTGCTCAGGCTGGGCAATATCGCAAGGCTGGAGCTGAACTACTGCATCCCCATGGGCGTGCAGCGGGGCGACAGGTAAGCCAGGGCTGGCTGTCTGTGGCAGCCCTCTCTCGGGGAGTCTGAGACATTGAGTAGTTAGCAGAAGAGTGAAAAACGCAGACTTCCTGTGTTGGGTTTCTCTTCTTCCACCTTGGAGAGCATGTGACGAGTCTACCCCCTTCCCCAGACGCTCTGCGCTTCCTGTCCCTGAGGTGGTGGGATCCCCCAGAGCTCTGCTGGCAGAGTCCGCAGGTGCTGCGGATCCAGTCTGCTTGGCACCTCACGGAGAAGGCAGAAGCCAAGGTCGGCTGTGGCCCAGGGCCTCGTTCTGGAGAGCACCCCCTCCACCCCGAGCCATGTTGAGGACTTGCCAGACCCCTCGGTGTCTGCCCAGGGTTGGCCCAGGACCCCCTGAGGATACCAAAATCCAGCATCGCACAAGTATGGATTCAGTGTAGGGTTCAGCCCATGGCAAAGGCAAGTTCTGCTTTTGGGAACTTTCTGGAAATTTTTTCCCCCAAATGTCATTGATCCACATTTGGGTGTGGTACAAAGGGCTGACTAATATACAGATAAATAAGGGCAGAGGGCATTTACAGTTACAGAAATTAATCCCTTTTTTATTTGTTTTGATTTGTTTTGTTTTAACAGGGTTAGAGATTGAACCCGGGGCCTTTGCATTGAACTAAAGCCTTAGCACTTTTTAAAACTGTTTTTTTTGGTACCAGGGATCAAACTCATGCCTGCAAGGCAGGCATGGTGCCACTGAGCTAAATCCCTGGCCCCCAAATTTTTCTTTTGAGACAAAGCCTTGCTAAGGTGTTCAGGCTGGCCTTGAGCTTTCGGTCTTTCTGCATCAGCCTCCCAGAGTGCTGAGATTACAAGTGTGTGCTCGCACACCTGGCTTAATGCCATTTCTTACATTCCTGTGGATGTGTTGTATAAGATTCAGGAAATGTGGAAGTAATGTGACAGTGTATGTCCAGTGGCTCAGGTTGCCATAATAATATGTCAACGGGCAGCTTAAACTATAGGCCTGTGGTTCTGGGGGCTGGGAAATGGAAGGCCGAGGCACTGGCTGGTGGCTCCCGGTGGCAGCTGCCCCCCAGCTTATAGATTCCAGCCTTTGCACTGTGTCCTCATAGGGCTGCAGGCAGAGCCAGGGTGCTGGGCTCAGCCCCCATCCTGGGACCCGCATGGCTGCCTCACCCTGATCCCTCAGCAGCTCCACGTGGCTCTGGGTCAGAACCTCAGTGTGGGACTGGGACACAGCAACAGTGCTTCCTTCCATACTCCGGTGCCGGGTTGCAGGTTTTAGAGTCCATCTGTCCGTCCATCCCGCCTTCCTCGCCCTGTATCAGTGACGGTGCCCACGGAAGGGCAGCTGTACTAGCACCCACGAGTTTTCCGTGAGGGTCGGTGCTCAGTTCTGTCAGCTGGGGGCATTTATCACGCCTTTCTCGGGGCAGCTGTGGCTTCCCTGGTACCACTCTGATGGCACCCCACTGCCCCCCCACAAGCTCGTGTGTGTGTGTGTGTGTGTGTGTGCGTGCGTGCGTGCGTGCGTGCGTGCGTGTGTGTGTGTGTGCGCGCGCGCGCCCATGCTCTGGGGCCCAGCCAGGCTGTTCTGTGCGGCTGTGTGACATGGGTGAGAAACCTAACCGCTCTGTGCTCTCCATTTTCCTGTCCAGGGAGCTGATGCTAACAGTTCTGCTTTGCTTTGCTTGTTTTTACCAGGGAATAAACTCAGGACTAAGAGACTTCAGAGAGGGTGAGCCAGGAGAGAAGGGCAGTTTCCCTGGCGCAGGGTCTAGGCAACTTCCTTGAACCTTGGTCTGTGGGCGGGAACTGGCTCAGCACAGTGCTCCCCCCAAAGCTGTTTGCCTACTGCAGTGGGGGCCTTGTGCCTCCGGCCCGACCACCCAGCTTTTTGGTAGAGGTCCATGTGGAGTACTTCCCCAGCATGCCGGGGCTGTGGGTTCCAACCCCAGAGAGGCGCAGTTCCTCAGACTGCACCCTGGGGTCTCCTGGGGAGTCTCTGGGGACCCACAGCTGGCGTCTGAGATACGAGGCCCTCCCTTGGGGACTGCAGTACCGAGCACGGCCACTGGGTGTCAGTGCACTCCCGCAGTCAGCACCGCTCTGAGCGGCTGGGGACCCCTCCTGTAACCGAGCGGGCGCGGTAAAGCTTTGCCCCTCTCTCTTCGGGTTAAATCTGAGAAATGTGCTCCAGAGATTCATTTCTTCCTAGAGGACACTGCCTGCTGTGCCCTCTGCCCAGCCACAGCTCTGTTCCATTCCATGGTGGTGGCTACGCATGTTTGTTTTGCAACATGAATGCCGTCCAGGGCCAGCCGGCAACCCAGACAGTGGTGTGGTTTGCTGTTTTGTCAGCACAATCGGGGCTTTGTGTGTTTGAATGACGTTGCCAGAACCCAGGTGCTTGGCAGTGCGGGACTAAGGGGGTCTGTGGTTAGGGACCGAGGCCTCTGCAGAGTGGGATAGCCTGGGCTAAATCCACCCTGGATGTGGTGGCAGCGCTGTCACTACCCTGAGCACGGTGTCCAGCACCCAGTGAGTGCCTGGGAGAGCAGCTCCGTGTCGGGAGACTGGGCTCAGCCAGGCTGGGAACTGAGCCACGTCCCCGGAAGCTCGGCAGGGCTGTGGCACAGCTGGCACACAGGCTTAGGGGGACAGGTGTGCAGCGGGGTGCACATAGGAGGCACCTCGAGGACCGACAGGGGAGTGGCTGGGACAGAGCCAGCACCTTCCAGGGCGCAGCAAGAGGGGTTCAAGAGGTGGCGGGGGTGCCGGCCAGCTGGCTATGCTGTGCTATGCTGACATTGGGTAGCTCTCATCTGTTCACAGTGGGGTGAGCGAGCCCGGCCCGGAAGCTTTGCTCATGCCTGAGTTATATCAGTGAGGGGGACCTTGGCTGATGCTTCATGTTGTAGCTCATTTCCAGGCGTTTTTCTAACACAGGGAACATAGGCCTAGACCACTTCTCTAGACCTGACAGCGTGAAAGATAAAAGCAAACCATTTAGTCCCGCGCACAGCTTGGCTGTGCCAAGCAGGGCAGGCGTTGATCCTGGGCGTTGCTGTCTGGAAGCTGGCCAGGTCGCCACAGCTCAGAGGGCATCTGCTTAGACCACTAGCTGCTCCTGGTGACAGCCCTGTGGGGGGCAGGTGACACTTGGGACAGAGGGCTCAGTGACTGTCCGTGTGGCACTGCTGTAACCTTTGACTCACCCTTTCCAGGGTCAGGAGCTGCCCCAAGGGTGGCCTGGGCCTCTGCTCCTCCATCACAGCCCTGCGTCCTCCCTGTCAGGTGGGGAACAGCAAGGGAGGAAGGAGGGAGCCATGAAGGGAAGTCACACCTCCCTTTCTCTTTTTTTTGGTACCAGGGATTGAACTCAAAAGGGAGGCGCTGGTGCCACTGAGCTAAATCTCTGGCCACACCTCCCTTTCTCCTGTCCCTGTTGTCAGGCTGACTCTGAACCTGGGCGGGAAGGTGCAGGCGGGAGAAGGGCCTGTGATGGCAGCTGGCCAGCACAGGCTGCCCCGAAGTGTCCCCAGGCTGCCGTCTGCTGGCTATGAAGCCGGGCAGAGGGGAGCACAGCCTTCATCTCTGCCTTTCTTTCAGGATATGCGATGGTGTCCAGTTTGGAGCTGGGATAAGGTTCCTGTAGCTGCACTCCTCCAGGGCCACCCACCCTCCTGGAGTTCTCACAGCCCTGCGAATGTGTCAATAAATAGTAAAGATGAACACTCAGCCGCAGCGGGCTCTAGTTTGCTTTCAGCAGCAGCGCGTCCTGCATTGGCTTCTCCCGGAAGCCTGTGTCCTTTTGCCTGCACCACCCCAGGCCCAAGGCACTCAGATGTCTCTGGATTCCTTGTCCTCCTGGCTCTTGGGGTCTCCCCCTGGGGTCCCACAGGCCAGAGTGTTTGGCAGAGCTGGGGACACAGCCTGCTGCCAGGCCTGTGTGTGCTGGCTGAGGTCACAGGAGGCCACGTCTGTGGGCGTCCAGGGTCATGGTATGTGTGTGTGAGTGTGTGTGTGTATGGGAGTGACACAGGAGAAGTCACCACACTGTGACACTGGGGACACTGAGGAAAGCAGGGAAATGTGTCATCCGTAGGCTGATGGCAGCCATTGAGATTCAGGCCACAAACCAGTGGCTTGGACCTCACAGACTCTCGGGGCTGAGGTCCAGCTCACAGTGGGGCACTTGTCTGGCGCACAAGGGTGCTGCAAAGAAAAAACAGACACAAACATAGGTTCGTCCTCCAGGGAGGTCAGAAGCCCAGACTGGCTCTCGTGGCTCCAGCCCAGGCACCGGCAGGGATGTAATGTCGGAGGCCCTGTGGAGAAGCCATGGTCAGCCTTCCCAGTCCTCAGCCTCTGCCCGAGCCAGCAGCCTCTCTCATGCTGACTCTCCGCCTCTGCTCTCTCAGCAACCCTGGTGATGGCTTATAGGCCCCCCAGATACTCCAGGATAATCTCACGGCCAGCCAGTGAGCACCCGGAATTCCCTGCTGCCCTCTCCTGTGCCCTGTTACAGGGTGTTGCTGTCGCCCCTCGGTGTCTGCAGGACATGGGCTGTTTGGATTCTAGAATCCGCAGATGCTCAAGTCTCTTATTTATATGTACAGAACCGTGTGTCTCCAGCCCGTATTTATAATGCAGTATTTGCAGAACCTATGCACAGCCTCTTGTAGGTGTTAAATCACCTTTGATAACTTACAGCACCTAGCACAGTGCAAGTTCTCCGAGCGTAGTTGTTACGGTGAACTGCTTAGGGAATATCGAGGAGGAAAAAGGCCTCTACTGGATCAGATCGGTACGGATGCAGTTTTCTTCCTGAAGATTGCCCGTGTCCGTGGACACTGAAGCCGAGGATTGGGAGAGCTGACTGTGTTCTCCAGGTCCAGGCTTTAGGATGTGGGCATGAAAGGCTCCACCCCTCCCTGGAGTGCCTGTGCGCCACCTCTGGCTGGTTCCTGCTACTGCGTTCCCGTTCACTGTCCCTGGCTGCCCTGAACCTCTGACCCGAGGAGGCATGGTCCAAATGTACGGTGAACATTGAGATAAAATGTATTACAGCAAAAGAAATCACCATGAATCGTCCTCAAAATTACCCCCTTGATTCAAATACACTCATCCCATCGTCCTTGCCACTCTCTGAAGCAGTTGCAGGAGTTCTCTTTCCTGCGTGTCTTTATGTAGTGTGATCAGCAATTTGGGGACTGCTGCCGCCCGAGCGCCATCCAATGGAAAGGCAGCTTGTAAACACGTGACGCTGCGTCTTCCAGCTTATTCACCAGCTCTGGCGCTGTGTAACTTTCAGCTCTTCTCCAAAGTCAAAATGACCATTAAAGGGTAGCATTTTGAATTGACTCACATCGAGGCAGCCAGGAGAGTGCAACTAAAGACACTCAGAAAGAGCACTTCCAGAACTGCTGCAGAAAGTGGCAAGAAGGAAGGGTTAAGTTGTCCAAACCATAAATGTTTTGAGGGGAATTAACGTGTCTTTTACTGTAATGCAATGTTTAAAATTTCAACATTCACTGTATTTTTCAGTCATACCTTGTATTTGGTGGGGGTGGTTTTGGGGACAGACTTCGTAGAATGAGCCCCGATTTGGGGCCCTGCGTGGCTGTTTGCCAGGTCTACTCACTTGTTTCCTCTGGGGCTCAGGTTTTTCTTCTATCAGGAAGATTCGGGTGTAGCACACCTCCCAGCTCTGCGGCACAGCCTGGGGGCCCCACCAGTGGGCTTTCTGCCTCCCAGGGTAGATGGTGGTGGATTCCCAGTGCCAAGTTGGGTATTTTGCCCTCTGGAGAATGTGGTCTGCTAGGAAGCAAACAGCAGATTTGTGATTCAGACTCCGCAGAGACTCCAGCTCACATGTCAGTGCCCATTCACAAAATACGCTGAGGATCTCCACGGCAGCACTCGGGGGCTTTGTAAAGCTTGTTTGTAGCACCTAGCATTTGCACCCCTGGCGTGATAACTACATAGAAACTTCTTCGCCTCCATTTTAATCTTTGAAATGATTTCACCAGATGATTATATGTCACAGCAGTATCAAAGTAAATGGGCTCCAGACCCCTCAGCACTGTCAGGATAATTGCAGGTCCCCCAGAGCTTTTGTTGATGTTAATACTTAACCCTGTTGGAAATTAAAACGGAGATGTTTTAAAAATATTAATTCCTGCTCCGTGGTACAGTGTATGCTTAGGGTACACTGTAGCAGCCCTAGGTTCAATCTACAGCACCAGAAAGATAAAGTTCCAAACAAATTCCACACTGACGTGAACCACGTTTTATGGAAAACGCATTTACCTAATAAAAACTTCAACTCGAAGGGTGACAGGGTTTGTCATTTTGCAAGTCTCCCTCATACCTGACTTCAAAACCAGATGCATTCTCTCTTCTGCATCTGTGGCAACTGGAGCTGTGATTGAAGTACAGGAAGAAAATCGGTCCTCATAGGCGTTTGGAAAAGGAGACTGGATATTCCTACTTTTTGTTTTCTTTTTCATTTTGGCTTTTTGAGGCAGTGTCTCGCTATGTAGTCCAGGCTGGCCTTGAATTCATGGTGACCTCCCTGCCTTGGCCTCCCAAGTGCTGGGACTACAAGCATGTGCCACCACACCTGACTTGCATATTCAAAACTCAGCAAGTGACAGTTTTGTGTTTTTTTGGCAGTCCTCAGGGAGGAACCGGGCCTCTTGCATGCTGGCCAAGTCCTCTGCCCCCGAGCTGCATCCCAACCTCCAACAAGTGGTTGTTTTTTGCAGGTTAATTGCAGAGTGGGATGTGAAGCCCCATCTGTGACCTTTTCCCATCCACTCCCATTCGCAGCCAGTGCGCCAGCTGGCGCCGGCACTGTGTCTGCTCCCCAGGCACAAACTGTAACAGCACGCATTGGTCATTTGGGGAACACTACTTCCCTGAATTATTCACATCTTCCAAATGCCGACGCCTGTCACAGTTACGCAGATGGAAAAGATCACACTCATTAATACCAGTGCCAGGTGCATCAGGAAAATCATGGGTGTTGGGAAGCTGCCAAGCTCTATGGTGGTAGATACACATTTTCCCCAATTCCCATTTTAACTTGAAAGCTCACATTTTATCATTGGCAAGAAATATTGTCAGTTGCTTTGCTTGAAGTTCACTCCATCCATCTTCGAAGAAAGTCTGCCCTGCCAATGCCCACGTTCGAATAACTACAGCCTTCCTGTCGCTGTCTTGGGCAAACATGACTTACGTGCACAGGGCGATCCAGGGCCATCCTCGGGACTAGGAGCCTCAGAGTGGGGAAGAGCTGCAGGAGCTCCCAATACCATGGTTCCAAGCGACATAGTGACACATGCCTGCAATCCCAGCACTCAGGAGGCTGAGGCAGGAGGATCCTTGTGGGTTTGAGGCCAGCCTGGGCTACAAGTTCAAGGCAACCTGAACTACCTAGCGAGACCCTGTCTCAAAAAGGCAAAATAATAATATAAAAAATAAACCCCAAGCCTTTTATTATCAGATATGAATCACACTCATCTCCTGGCCCTCGGGTCCCATTCTGTGAAATGGGAGTGGCCAAGCCTGCCTGTAACCTGAAGTGTGGAAGAATGCCTGGTGCCCCAGGAGCTGCTAGGTCTCTGTGCCCAGTGGTGCTGGTGCGAATCCGTCTTGGGACTCAGTGACAACCCAGACCGCAGCTTGGGTCTGAAGATGAAATGTGGGTCATTCCAACCCATAAGCTCGGTGCTCAATCTTGAACGAAGGGTAAGGCTGGCTCGACACCCCATGCCAGGGTCACCCCATCCCAGAGTCACTCCGGCCTCCTTGCTGTTCAGGGCGAATGGGGCGAATGGTGATCGAGGTCAGCTCGTCTCGCTGCCAGAACTGTGGCTTTACCCTTTTCCTGACAAGTGACAGGATTCTTCTGCCAAATCATTAGATAACTATTAAGAACAAAGAGCGCTCATCCAAAATGGAGGTGCAGCATTATCTTGCTAGAAAAAAAAAATAGCAATTGTTTTTTGAAAAGAGCACATTCTATGAATTTGACCATCTGGGAAAATTCCACCCTCTTTTCCCTGCCCCCTCAATGAATCAGTTTCTGACGAAGGAAGCATCTCTGTCCTTTATCACTGCCCCCATGAGCCAGTCAATTAAAATATTCTGACTTGGGCTGGGTGAGATAATAGCAGGCCTGTTTCCATCCATCACCGAGAAAGAGAAGGTGACCTCTTTTTACGGAGTCAGAGACCCAAATACAATTGCTTCCATATTCTTATCATACCCAGAAATTACTGCTCATCAGACAAAATTTCCTTGAAATATGAAACCTACAGAGCTACTCTAGGAATATTGGAACATAATAAAGAGACCATGCTTCAGCCTTGGGAACTTGGGCGTGAAAATTGACAAGCTGCCCTTAACAGGAAGAAGTGTTGAAATCAAAGCCGAATGTCCTGAGATGTTATTGTCCCTAGCAAAGGTTGGCTGGGCATGGTGGTGCATGCCCAGCACTCCAGAGGCTGAGGCAGGAGGATCACCAAGAGTTCGAGGCCAGCCTGGACTACCTAGTGAGACCCTGTCTCAAAAACAAAACAAAACATTAATATATGATTCATCGTGACACTTTAAGCCAGAGGAGTGAACTGAGCACCGGTTGGAAGCACTGCTGGTGGCCGCACTGGGCCTGATTACCTCACCTCTGACGCTCCGGCCCGTCTCTGGGGCCCTGGCCAGGCCTCGGTGTT